GAATGAATGGATGGATGGATGAATGGATGGATGGATGGATGGATGGATGAATGGATGAATGGATGGATGGATGGATGAATGGATGGATGGATGGATGGATGGATGGATGGATGGATGGATGGATGGATGGATGGATGGATGGATGGATGGATGGATGGATGAATGGATGGATGAATGGATGGATGGATGGATGGATGAATGGATGGATGGGTGGATGATGGATGGATGGATGGATGATGGATGGATGGATGAATGATGGATGGGTGGATGGATATTAAAACCATTTTTCCTAACTTCTGGAGAAAAGTTTTTTAGTTAGTTAGTTAGTTAGTTAGTTAGTTAGTTAGTTAGTTAGTTAGTTAGTTTGTTTGTTTGTTTGTTTGTTTGTGTATCCTGACAATCACAACTTTGTGATCATGTCTTTCCCCACAGGTAAATCAGTCCCATCAGAACAGGTCCGGAGCTGCAGGGAGCCACAGTGAGTCCTGCCAGCAGGGTCTCTGCTCTCTGGTCAAACGGGTGGAGGACTGGTTCGAGGTCTTTGCCTTCCACCTGGACCGGGTTCTGGGACTCAACCGGAGTCTGCCTGCTGTTCTCAGAACCTTCCACAGTCCTGTCCTGCCATACCGCTACATCAACGGCTCCCCCCGCCCCACGGTATGGTGGGATCCTGACATTCAGCACCTTGCTGATGAGGACAGTGACCAGAACTCAGTGACACTCAGCTGGGTCCAGTACCAGAACCTGCTTCAGGCCAGGTGTGGCAACAAAACAGACCTGAGGTCTGAGCCATGTGTTGGAGTCCAGCACTCTGAGTGGGGACGACTGGCTCTTTTTGACTTTTTATTACAAGTAAGAAAAAAACTTTGTTACTTGTTGTTTAATTTTGGGTCACAGCTAACACAGAGAAGTCTTCTTTAATTATAGACAAAGAAATAAATGTTATAAAATCAACTTTCTAAAATATTTAAAGGAGGACCCAGAACACAGTAGAAAAATTACTTTAATTTGTTCCTTTTTGATCTAGAACAGACCAAATGTGARACACGTAGGTCAGATATACAATAATTTGATGATTTTGTCTTGTGTGTATTTCTTCAAGCTCAGTTTGAATACAGTTGTGTTGTGTCTGTGAGTTTGTTGGATTCATCACAGCTTGACGTGCTCCCCTCACCTCCCCACTGAGTTCACAGCCTGCAGCAGGACTTGRTCGGTTCTGTCCACACCACTGACATGGAACGTGAATCTGGGCCCCATCCAGAGTGCAGCGTGTGTGGCTGAAAATGAATAATCCAAGAACTCTCCCTCATTCTAACAGCCTGCTGTCTGTCGATCTGCTGAAAACCCCTCTGAACATTTGTTTCTGCTCCTGTCACACCCCCTGAGAGAACAGGTCAAGCAGGGTGGAAAAACCTACGTTTTTGTCAAACATTCAGCTGTAGGTGTCAAACCTGGCCCCAGTCTGCAGTCTCAGGTCAGCTGTCCTCGTGTCTTCAGGATTTCTTAAAGTCACAGTGTGTAGGATTTTGTCAATTCTTTTAGCCGAAATTGAGATAATCACTAATGACAATAATAAAAAACATGTCTAATCATTGCAGACAAAGACCTTGTTTTATTATTTTTWCCTTATAAAAAGCTGTTTATATCTCCATGGTCGCAGGTCGCCACTACAGGCAGCCGCCATCTTGTCTACGAAGGCTCATGAAGGACAAACTGCGGTGGCGGCGTCAAAAACGGTTTTAGTTGTAACACTATAAATGTAATATTTGTTGTCTGTCATTGTTGGGATAATTTGACTTATTAAAGCTCATAATCTTACCACTTGAAACATCACTAGCCCTGAAGCTGCTGGTAGACATCGCGGTTGGAATTATCAAAGGTTTTTGACACCTGAGAGACACCTTAGCAACTCCTTTGGGTTTGAAAGCAGGGGGTGGGGGTGGGGGGAGGACCAGGGAGGATGATTCAACCACTCAACTACTAGATGTTGCTGAAACCAACAAATCCTACACACTGTGCCTTTAATGGGACCTGGTACCCTCTGATGGATGATCCATCCCCTGATCTGTCTGTAATTCACCCTGATCTCTTCTTAAAAACCAGAAGTAAAACAATTTTTTTTAACTCTTCTACATAAAACTCTGCAGAAACTTTAAAAATCAAACCATCAGAGTTTTCTGCCTCTCGTCATTCAACCATTTAAAAAGTCTTAGTTAATAATAATCGGCTTTGTTTCTCTGCAGGTGAACGACCGTCTGGACCGGTACTGCTGCGGGTTCAGACCTGATCCAGCAGAACTCTGTGTGGAGAACCTGCTGCACAACAAGTGTGGCACCAGCAATGACCTGTTGCTGGTCCACATTCTGGTGAGTACAGCTGGGAGATGCTCACTTGAAGTGGCTCCTGTCTGCAGACATAAAATGTGACATTTTAAGGGATCTGTTAGCTGGGGCGGCCATCTTGAACAGGGCTGACGTCTAAAGTTAGTTGTAGGAAAAAGTTGCAAAATTCCAGCAGTTTTCAGAGCTAGAAGCTTTCCATGGAGATTAAAGTGAATAATATGAAATATATGCCATTTTTTGCAACCCTAGCTGTAAATATACACCCAACTATCACTTTCTGAGAGTTGTATCAGTACCATGTGGTGGTTCATAAGATATTTTGCTAACAGTGTTGACAGATCTCCTTCTATATATTTTGTCCTGACTTTAGTTTTAAGTCTGCTTCTCTGTGTGAGGTGTTAGATGCTGACTACAGGATTACAGGATATTTTAAATTGATATTTTCTGTTAACAAATTACTTCTCATTTGTTTTTATTTATGTGGAACTCAGAATTCTTCTGTGCACACTGAAGTGATAAAAAAAATCTGCTCTAATAAAAAATGATTATGGCAGATGCACTTCATCTGGATCCAAAACTCACAGTCTGCTGTGAGCTGGGTCCAAAGCCAGAACTGAGACACAGAGTCTGGATGGATCAGATCTAAGACTGGCCTCAAGATTCTGACTTCATTTTTGGATCAGAAATCCGACTGAGATCATTGATCTGTCCATCAATCCAGACTCCATGGTCCTGTGTGGCTGCAGTTTATATGTTTGACTGATTTTACAGTAGAAGTTTAATAACAGCTAAAACTTTGCGATAAAACCATCAGTTTTATTTACTCTTTTTATAGCTGTAAATTATTTAAACTAAATAAAAAGCCCCAGTTATTAGTTAGATTACATTAATGGTGGAACAAAAACAAACCACCCACCACTTCTCCATCAGCCTGCAGAACGTCCTGGAAGAGTCCGGTGGGATTGAGAAGGTCCGACATCGATTCATCCATCGATCACTGGTTGAGGTCAACAGCACCCCACCGTCACTGAACACAGCTGGTTTGCCAGAATCTCACTGGAGCCGATCAAGAGTCTTTGTCCAAGGCCTAACCAAACTTCTCCCACATCCAAGGTTTTGCCTCAGRAACGACCACAGCTGTGGCTAGCTTGGCCTGCTGATACTCCTCAGCTCTCTCTGGAGTCCTACCAGCCAACAATGATAGGACTCCTTCAGCTTGACTACCCCAGGGTGTCCACCATCGAGTTTGAGGATGGCCACCGCAAGAAGCACCGACAACCTTGCAGCCACAGCTCAAGGCAGCCGTTTCCACAACTGAGGCACAGAACATGGRCCACTCAGACTCAATGGGCCTCATGCAAGAACATGTTCATATTATTCTAAATTTCTCTTACTTTTGTTCATACGAAGGGTTCGTACGAACATGCTACGTCATATTCAACGAACTCTTCTATCTTCAGGAAAAGTGTGTAAATGAGCTGTGCAAACTGATGAATGCGTATCCAGGTGCTCGTGCACGAGGAGAGGTGATTTACATAATAACCACCCCAAAAACATCATATAAGGATACGTTTCCTGCCCGACATACCAGGAAGTGTCCATTCATAAATGACATCGCAAAGTAAAATACAAGAACTTTACGAGTTCGGAGATTGAAGTCCGGCTTTCAGAGATCCAGAAGAAAAAAAAATCTGTCATTTTTAGCAGCGTCAGACCTGCTAAAGCCGAAGAATGAAATGATGACTGTTGTTAATGTCGTGTCTCCTGTCACAGAAATAAGAATATAAAACATTTATCTCTCTCTCTAGTCCTGCTCCAGGTTTTTTTTTTTTTTGGTCAAATATTTTAATTTAAGTTTAAAGTTGTGCGCCGCTCCCCCCTCCACCCCACTCCCGACCGCAAGTGTCAGATGAGTTTCTGAAAAAAAGCTTTTTAAAATGTCTTAGAACTTCAGTTAACTTCATCTTAATATTGTAGTGCTATGTAAAAATAATAGCCAATGTAGGGCATTTTAAATTAATCAATTTATGTCATTAGTCTTTTACATTTAAAATTATAATTCTAATTTAAACAGAATAGRGTTTTGTCAACATAATCAGTGTGCATTGCCAATGCACACTGATGTGATTCGTTTCCCATCCAAGTCATCTCAACTTTGCCATGCTTCTCCTCCTGCATACTTTGTCCTACAGCTGCCATTGTAATTTATATCTGTAAAGCTCTCGTGCCAAATGATGGCTATGCCTTTTGGTGCCTGTAAAACTTATAGTTTATGAAATATCAATGTTTAATTAATTATAATGGCAGTCAATGGAGCCTTGTATTGGTCCAATACTGCCTCATGCTGTACTCAACTTGGTACTGCACCATAGTTTAATATTTCAACTCCATAGTTCAGTGTTCACAGTACTAATATGAAGGTATTTTGATGTTTTACTATAATATTGTCTTAATACTGCTCGATTGTTGTAATATTATGCATTTTTGTGTCAATAATTATACTGGCAATGTGGCCTCTTTCTGCACACATACAAACCAACCCCTGCCACCATCTTCTGCCACAACTCGATTGGTCTAATGGTCTATGTCATGGACTTTCATGTGGGAGATCAGAGTTCAAAACCCAGCTAATGCAACTTTAACAAAAAATCTCTTCAAYTTTCATATTGTCACACAATTACCTTAATTACAAACACCTGCTGACGTGACAGGCACAAGCTGGTATAGAAAACACATTTGAACTTGGTTAAAGTTTATTCTGCAAATCCAATGCTGCAGGCAAAGCCATGCTGCAATGACATGCTACGTGGCAATGCACACTTGTTTTTACATCTTAAAAACCCATGTCTATTTATGGGGTGTGATTTATTTTCAACTCAAAATATCTTCGAAGTAGTGAAATATAAAGTTTTTAGTTAAGAAAATTAATCTGGATAACAGCAGACTGACTGCTCGTAAAATATACGACAGGTCTGGACCACTCGCGAATTTTGTTCATATCTGAAAAAAATCTTAGAATACGAAAACATTGGTGAATGCCACATATTCTCCTAAATCACTCGTACGCACAACTTAAGAACAAATCTGTGCGTATGAACATGTTCTTGCATGAGGCCCACTGTTCCCCACCTCAGCTGGGAAGTGGCTGAAGTTCTTGAAGATCTGTCTGACGGGTTCCTCTGCCAGGTGTTCCCAGCAAACCCTTCTACATGATTAGATCTACCAGGTCTGCCTGGCATCTTCAACCGYCCACCTGATCCAACTCACTACCAGGTGGTGTTAAGTTKCTCTCTTTACCCACGTGTCCAATTATATTTATTTGTAAGCTAATGTGATGTGACTGATGTGTGTGGTAAAGAAACACATCCAGCATTCAGTGAATTTAATGAGTTGATTATTTGCTCACTTTATTAAACTAGTTGTGTWAAATGATTCAGTGTTGGGATTAACTGAAAACCTCATTTCAGAAACTTGTTCATTTTTCCATTTATAATATGAAATTTATTAAAAATCAACAAGCTGGGTTATTCTGCCTCCTTTATTTTTTCTGCCAAATGTTCTGGCTGCTGCCAACTGATTCTATTTTGAAGTCAATCCAATTCAAGATGGCTGCCCGAGCTTATCAAAATTAGAACACAGAAATGGTGATAACTCCGTAAATTGTACAGGTATTAAGTTGGGAGTCATTTTCATGCATAAGTGTGACATCATCATGTTATTTTCAAGGTTTGATCCAAACATCCATAAATCTGTCTTTCCTCAACAGAACATCTCAAAACTCTGATTTTTAAGATGCGGCATTTAAATCCATGACGTTTTTTTGTTTTTGTGCCTTTTGTMAACCCCAAATTTTTTATCCAAACTCCATTTTTTAACCAGCTGTATCACCTGTGTTTGTGTGTCTTCATTTGTTCAGGTGAGAAAAGCAGATCCTTCCAGGCTGGTATTTATAGACAACGCTGGCAGACCACAGCAGACCAGTGACAACCTCAACTTCAGGCTGGTAGAGGGCATTGATGAGTAAGTGCTTCATGATGTACCAAATGTTCGAAAGTAGAAGGAAGAACTTGGCATAAAGACAAACAGATGGCTCTTCCTTCTTACAAAATAACATGTTTTTCCTTTTTCTGTAAGAGCTTAATTGGACATTATTTGGAAATTATTTTTATGAAATTAGAAACTCAAAATAGTCCCTGTCAGAGTCATGGAACAGGACATTATTAAATCCCATCAGAGCCCTATGTTCTGCTTGATTAATTGGTTTTGTTGCTTCCTGTTTCATCCTGCCTGCTGTAATCATGTCATGAAAGTCCAACKCATGAAATGAAATGCTGTTTATCCTGACAGGTTTCCAGAGAAAGCGGTGTCCGTGCTCCGCTCAGGGTGTCTGGAGAGTCTTCTTCTGCGCTCTCTCTACACAGACACAGAATTCTGGGAACGCCATGGTGGGGCCGCCGGTCTCAGGCCTCTGGTCCACGTCGTGGAGCAGAGAGGCCAGATTCTCCTCCAGCACGTCAGGGARAAAACGCTGCACCTCCAGAGGGACCTGTGACCCAGCAGATCTGGTCTGAACAGAAACCAGAGTCCAGAGAAACAAGAAGAGGCTCCAGAAGARTCTGCGTCACAGAGCCCACAGTTTTTTTCTCAATGAGTTAAATATACAACTTCAATTATTTTAAAGKCAACGTTGGTAAAATAAGCTAAAAATATCAAGTTCCCTCATTTTCTGCTGACAACTGCAGCGCGACTCCATCCAGGTGTCATGATGGGAGCATCTGTGAAAACAAATGACTAAATTTAAAAAAAATAAGAGTTGATTTTGTTTTAAGTAAAGATTACTAAGCTCCAGAAACAGAACTAAACAAAGACAAGGGTTGTCCAATCCTGGTCCTGGATGGTCGGCACCCTGCATGTTTTACTTGTTTCTTTGCTTCAACACTGTTTCTATGCAGTGAAGCCTCTCAAAGTCACATTTCACAGTTTGTGTACTTAATCTTTTGCAGGTTTATATTTAGAACCTAACAGTTAATGGTTTGTGATAATCCCTGTAATTTTGTGGAAGCTGTAAATATAGTAAACAGTAAATACAGTAAATGTAGTAAATATAGTGAGGTACGTCATGTTTTTTGTGAGTTTTAAAGCTAAATAATATGGAATAATAT